CCATTTAAGGCCAAAAAAAAAAAAAGTCGGTCTCTGGTCAGCGCGCGCGTCGATTTTAATCATGCGCATCAATCTTTTTTTTTCCCAAAATGTTCCGCTGTAGCTCCAACAGCGCCCTCTATTGCCGCACCTCCTCAATTTTTTTTATCAAAGAGCACCAAGGAATGGGAAATTGCACCAAGGCAAATGATCGAGAGCACCAAGGCAAATTACGGAGGACACCAATGTACATGAGGACACCAAAAAAGCAAAATAGTACCCCACCTTGTCTGTACAATCCAAGCATGAAGAAAAAAAAAAGCCGCATCCCCGCGTCAATTCCGGAACTTCGGTCTGACCAGAGATCGAATATTTTTTTTTTTTGGCCTAATATAGAAATTGCTGAGGGGGGAGGGGCGGGAATTTGTCGCCTTTCAAATATGAGGAATTGTGAAAAATATGGGGAAGTAATAATTGTGCAAATATCAGTCTTAATGTACATGTAGCTTTTTTCATATCATCACCATTACACCCACTGAACAAAACTGGCTATTTTAAGTCATCATTAATATCCACGGACAATTCCAAGGAATTATAAACCTCAAATGCCAAAACGGTAATACCGATACATGGTCAATTTGAACCTTATTATCTATATTATATTGAAAAATATTTTGTTTGTTACAATGTTGAACAGTTTAAAGCTGTTCCTTTTTCACTGAAAAATTCATTAATAAGTACACAAACAAAAATCATCATTGTTCATCCCACACCATGGTGTTTCAAGCCGACTTCTCATACAACCAAAACAGTTTGCGCTGTACAAATTACACACATTTTTGTCCAAAGCCTGTAGTGTGGCACCATGAAACTGCATTAATATTAGACAACTGACCTGACCTATGCTGACACAATGCCTTGAAAACCTAAAAAGTTGATCCAAAGTCGGGGAAGGGGCAAATTATTGTTATTCTTGGTTCTTGGTTGGTTCGTCTTCTAAATACTCCACGTGGGTGTTTATATAGGAGGCCAGAAACACCGCGGCAAACCCCTTCTCTTAGCGATAAGTATCACTGGGTTTTTTTACGTGCATTGGATTACACAACACACGGGACCTACGGCTTTACGTCCCATCCGAAGAATGAAGCAATAATGGTAAAGTGCCTTGCTCACGGGCACAAGTGTCCACCCGGCGGGCTCGAACCCACGCCACTGTTGCCTCTGAAACACCAGAACATGAGTCCGGTGTTCTTAACCGCTATGGCATGACACTCCAGTATTGTCAGCGTCACTACTCATATCCAACCCTCCCTCCCATCCCCCCCCAATAAAAATCATAAATTTGTTTTGTGGCTATGTTTCTGCCTGTAGTACTGTGTCTGCAATTTGTCGTGACACCCTTTTTGTGCCCCCCCCCCTCCTTAAATGGGTCTAGTGACGGTGATCATACAGAGCATCCGTGTAACAATTCCTATGACCTATAGTGATATTATGTTGTAATTCCCATCTCCAACGCTTCGGCTCTGATAAACTAACCACATGTGTCCCTCGTTTAACACATCACTGATGCAAAATTATATACAGTATGTGGGGTTCAGGGGTGTCACAGATGGAACACGGATATAAGCTACATACATCTACATAAGTCGTACATATGTACCAAGTACCTTTGACAGCTGATGTGTGAGAGATGCTTAAACCTAGATGCAGGCCATTAAGCAAGCCTCAATGCAGCGTGTCCAGGCTGTGAAACCCTGGCAGGTTTGTTTTCATCCAAAGGCAATGCCAAAAACTAGACACTTCAAATGCTTACTGTGTTTGTGCAGAGCGTAACACAACCATAGAGCTATACAACAGCGAGTCCCAAAATACCCGCAACTTTTTTTTTTTTGCGAAGCTCTATAGCGTCGCCGCGGAAACACGTACCGCCATTATTTTTTATATCATTTTAAAGCTCGGAATCTCGGCTTTATCCCTGGTAATAAGTATTGGTTTGATTTTCAACAGGGTTGTGAAATTATTCATGTTTTTCATGGACTGAAAGAGCCAGTCAATGGAAACAACGTGGACACACGTCACAAAAGATGCACAAATCTTTCCCTTCGGGGTAACTTTCAAATTTCCTGAGTTTCACATGTACCTCATTTGTTTTGGGTATTTTTTCCCCCAAATACCCTTATTTTTCCCTGACTAGTAAAAAAGTGGAAACTCATTGTCAAGGTGTTTCCTAATATCCAGAGTTGCTGAGAAGTCTGACATTTCCAGACCATTATATGAACAACCCACTCAGCACACAGCAAGCCCATCAGCACGCACATCACAGGCATGCAACTAGGAATTTAGACAAAACAAGGAAATTCCAAAATCAAACAAGACTTTACAGCATTTTTCAATTTGTAATGGCATTCATGAGAAGTAAAAAAACGAGGAAATCAGCGGATCCGAGGAAAAGTTGCATGCCTGACATCAGCAGCCTGCGTTTGTGGAGCACCACAGCAGACAGCACAGCACACCATCAACGAATGTGCTGCACTTGGCCCCCAGCTGACATGGTGGACTTCGCCACTGTCAGTGAACAAACAAGAACATGGCTAAGACAACTGGACGAAATAGCTTGACTTTCTGCTGCCTCATACGACAGAAGAACACAGCACAAATACAGTGTACAGTACAGTCGAATCTCGTTAGTACAAACTCTGTTAAAGGGAAAATACAACATTTGCAAACATCAAAAAATAAAACTACCAAATCATTTCGAAATACCTTGCTGGACTGTTAGTGAATGACAGTGTAAAGCATCCTGTAAAATCATGGCACCTGGTATACTGTCATTTTCAAGAAAAGTGGTATTTTGTATCAAAAAACTGTTTTTTTTTCTTCAAATACTGGCCCCAATTGACCATTGCACTTGTTTGCAATCGATTACACACCTATGAACGGGTACAAGCCAGCTAGACTGGTTCCCTGACCTTACAATTCCCCAATGTATGTAAACTGCTCTGTTTCTTCTTATATGGAGTCAGGGAACCAGACTACAGGAAAATGATTGTTTTTCTTGGTTTTTATAGCATTTTCGAACCCAAAACCTCAAAAAAGTCAGTGTAACTATATTTGCTATATACCCCCGGTATTTCCAACCCCCCAATTCCATCCATTTCTGTAAATTACAGCAAAAGCAAATGATGTATATTCCCTTTAATACAAAATTCTGGTTATGACAAACATAAAGCCTTAGTGCCGACTGTGCATTTATGTGCACAATGAATGGGACTGATGTTCCTCTTAATAATACAAAATTGTGATATAACAAACAATTTGGCTAGGTCCGAACGAGTTTGTATTAACAAGACTCGACTGTACATGTATCATCCGTGATTCCTCCAGTACATCCATACACTGTTCACTGTACACACAAAAGCACTCTCTTGACAAGCTCAATGGACAAAAGCCCATACAAATTACACCTGATAACAATGCCTGGACCAACAATGGATATTGACTGTACAGGGAGGGATAATCCTGTGAGCAATCACTGGCTGAGATAATAATGTGCTGTATGACTGCTATATGCATGCAGTTCAATACACCGTGACCCCATCAGGTCAACTTGCATGCCTGACAAGTGGACAATGTTGTTACTTACAATGTAAGTGCAAGATGTACACAAAGGCTACCGGTACATGTTATGTACAGTGTGAAGTAGTTGTGTCATGTTGCGCATGAACACAGAGAAAGCCTGCGAAGAAGTTAACAAGGTTGTCAGCAGTCCGGAGTGCGAGCAACATTAAATATATGTGAGGCGTTCTGGCAAAATGAGACAGAACCGGGCACAGGCCTTAGTGGAAAAAAATGGGGGAAGGGAATTTTTTTTCGATTTTCAGATTTGTTGATATTTGTAATCTTTGATACAATGTGGTGCTTATACCGGTACATATAGCACTTTCTACCAAAGGTCTCAAAGCGCTTCACAATTATTATCCCTGTTGATCACGCCATGAGACCAGTTTTTGCAGCAGCTCGAGATCAGCGCATTCTGGTCTCTACCTTCACGGGTACCCATTTATACTCCTGGGTGGAGAGAGGCAATCGTTGTAAAGTGTCTTGCCCAAGCACACAAGCACCATGTTCCCCGTCAGGGTTCGAACCCACGCACCACAGCACGTGAGTCAAACACCGTAACCATTGGACCACAGCGCTCCACATACGGTACATGTACTCTACTTCACATATTAGAAGCAGTACAAAATTGGTGGAATATTAAAAAAACATTTTTAGGAAAAACAATTGGCATCTGTCATTTTCATGAACTAAAAAACTCAGTATTTTAAAGGCCTTTTGCTCAGTATTTTACTTTTTTGACACGTCAATTGATGTGGAATTTAAAAAGCCATAACTTGTCAATGAAATGATCGATTGAAGTGCGAAAAACAGTATTGCAAGGAGAATTTGGTTCTCTTTCATAATACTCGCAAACCCTCATTTTGACCTCTGCCCAGTTCTATCTCATTTGGCCAGAGAGTCTCACATATCACAGTGCAGGATTAGGTTTGGATGATGCCAGAACACAAGTTTTTGCCTTTTCTGTAGGGGGGCAGGGGCTGGGGTGAAGCAATTTCATGAATAACTCAGTAATTTTGATGGGAAAACTATGACCTCAACACCATTGTTATGATTTAGCCAACTTTAACTGAAGCATTTCAAAGAGCGGGTGCTGTTGAATCACGTGGCCTTCACAGTGCACGACATCAGCTGAATGAGAACGTGTTCCGGATGCCGAGTTTGGGCGCAATTCAAAACACGACTTGGCAACTTTTGAAGTAAAATCAAGACCCTAGAATGTACAGCATTCACTGAGCTAAAAGCTTCATCAGGTTAGTTGTTAAGCACCCGTCCTTGGATTTTGCGCACTTTTGTTGCTTCAAACGAAACCATGGAAACAAATCCACAAATGACAGATGATCTACTCTACCTTTTAAGCAACCATTGAACTTTGGTTGTGAATTCTGTATCTCAAATCTTACCTTGACAATGCGTGACGTGAGATTCCTCGGCGCCCTCCAACTTGAACGGCGACAAGTTGTGGTCCGCCTTGGTACTGTGTGCGTGATCTCCGGAATTCTCGACGACGTTCAGCGGGAAGACGAACGATGTCTCTTGTGCCGTCTCCATGGCAACTCGCCCACACTTTTCTCGCAGTTGGTCAAAACGTGAATATTTTTTTGTTTAAAAGTCTTACAGGGGAAACGTTAATCACTCGGTGATCGTGTAATGTAACTACCTCAGGTCCCAAGTGAAAAACCAGATCTGAGGTTTACGAGAATCGAGCCTGCACTTTTAAATCATCTACGAAGGTTCAATTAAGCTCCAGAGTTGCATGAGAAGAAGGGGCCTCCTGATTGGCCGGAATGTGCAAAGTGGGCGGTGCAATGACCAATGGGATGTACTGTTATCGAAGACGCCCTGATTTTCATTGGTGCAAATCAATCCAGTGCAATACAGTCAATCCACTGCCAAATTAAGTATACAAAAAAAAAATTAGTACTTTGAAGACCTAGGTTTCCTGCTCTCTGATTGGTTGGGGTGCATTGGCAAGACAGACAGCAGTGACTAATGCACACATCGTTGTCTTATGCAATGGTACCCACAATGCAAAGGTACTGCAATTCTTTCTTTAATACAATCCATTGTTTTCAAAGTGGGATGCAATGGCACAGTGTTCTCCGCAGTAACAACCGAGCTCCACACGTGTTTTCAAGATCGTCCGTAACATGTGGGCCATAACATTGACATTGCGGGCAGCTCCCCCCCGAAAAAAATAACTCCGCCGTCGGAAATTTTGTCTCAAGTTTTTCCCGTTATTTCTCCGGGGGGAAAATTAGCGCTAATCCTGGACAAGCCACGAGATGACTCAATCGTGACACCTGGATTTTCTAAGTTGGAGGAAATTACCGGTGGGAGGGGGTGGGGGATACCATAGGAGGGAAAAACGACTGTGTTCACGGGGCAATCGCCCACGCATCAGTTCCCGAACCCGTCCCCAGACGAGTCGCGGGGAAGGCAGATGCAGCAAATTTTCTGTCTTGTCATTTTACGCGAATCCAAATCAATCTCTGCCAGGATCAATCTCTGTCGAACTTTTCTTTCGCCCTGCCACAGACTCCACCAGGGGAGGAAATTCTTCAGGGGGGCGGTGATGCCGAATACGTCCGCCTGGCTCAGATTAGCACGTTTCTCCTTCACGCCTCTTGGGTCCTGTCTGTGTCTGGGCTGAGCAAGCCACCACCACATCACCCCTCCTCCCCCTCACTAGAAAAAAAATCAAACAAAATAAATTGTGACAGCGTGACAGCGTGACAGCGATGGTACCTGGCCAGAAAACACTTTGTCACTTTTCAGGCCGACGGAGGTGAAGCCCTTCGTGCACAGCTGTAGACAGTTACTCCAGCCCACTTTCTTTTTATGTTTTCAGGGTCGGAGGAAATTCTTATTTCCTGTGAAAAAGGCAAAAGAGGAAGGCGTTCATATTAGGAGCGGCAAGGCCAATGTCATGTCATTGTCTAGGACAGCAGTGTTTATCAACCTGACTCAATGCCAAGTTGCTCAATAATGACACTGGAATCATTCAAAAGTGTACATGTTATGTAGGTCACTTTCTTAAACCCAGATTATGGAACAACAGATGATTGCAGAATCTCCATTTTCGTCAAGAGCAAAGAGGGTCATAGACGCTTGCATGACATAACAGTCATCAAGGTTCAAACCCCCTCCCCATATCCAAAAAAAGGGGGAGGGGGAAGGCAGGGGTACCAGTATATCTGCGCATCTAACCACAGTCTAGGGGCTAGACGTTGCATGGTTTGATACGCAATAACCCGCTGCCGCAAGAGGGCGCTATCACGACCAACCAACATCGCCCACGGACTTGTCAGTAGCAACATCTAGGACATCTCCTATTCATAATTGGTTGTGTAATGTGCGCGCACCTGTTTGGCCTAATATGTGCAGTGCGCAATTCAAAAAATTCATAGTTCTGTAGTTCCGAAGTAAACACTCAAATTTAAATGTATAATGAAAGATGCAGCCAGACCTTTGTGCAACTTCACTGGTCAGCTCTTTTGTTGTGAGTAGTATGCGTGGGACTGAAAATGGACCGTAATTGCCTGCAGAAGTCCCGCATGCGCACTAGTTTCCCTCATTTTTCGGGGGGAGATTTCAGGAGATGCCCTAGACGTTGCTACTGACAAGTCCGTGGGCGATATTGGTTGGTCATGATAGCGCCCTCTTGTGACGGCGGGCTATCGCGGCGGGTTATTGTGTATTAAACCATGCAACGTCTAGCCCCTAGACTAATCTTACCAAGGCACTGAAGCCCGCTTGTGCGTGGCGCACTGTATGCGGACACGGTTGAAACCATCAACAAGGCTGTCCGGCATAGTGACATTTTGGTGAAAAATTGGTAGGGTCCCCCAACGTGAAATTTTTGTTCAATGCGCTACTGTGTGGTGACACAGAAACGAAACAGACATTCAACCAGGTAAACATTATAAAAAGACAGGGCACATAATTCATCAGATAATCCAATCGCACCGGATTAATTCGCCTTGAACTGATTATTTTCAGTTGTGAAGGACAGCGAAATCAAAGAGGCAATCAGTTGATGCACGTTGCTAACCCTCCTGCTGTTTGAACAGTCACAGACAGTCAACAAATCAATCCTCCTCCCCTGCCATGCCTTTTACACAGGCTAGTCACCAACAGTCAGATCATATTTCAAACAAGCACTCTGACCAGTCAAATTCAGTCAACAGACAAAAGCAGGCAGGAAGTAAGCACAGCTGGCTTATCAATCACCTACAGTCAACGCATAGCTGTATCAAGTTACATAAACAGTCACAGCCAGTCAATCCTGCTTTATGTAAGCTGGGAGCTCTTAACTGTTGAAAACAGTCACTTGATTGATTTTGACTGACAGGACAACTTGGCACAGAATGTATGTTTGCATAGGACATGTAGGAGGGTTAACATTACTACATTTTGTAGGTGAGACTTTACTCTCGTTCACCTAGATAAAGATATCAGCTTATCAAGTGTCGAATATGAAATCAAATAGTCATTTTGCACTGCGAAAGTTGACAGCACTTGAGATTTTATAGAGTGTATACAGGGAGGAGGGTACAAGGGGACATCGCCGCCAACAGGAAGAAAGAGAGTAATGACTCGACTGTCAGTCGAGCAACGAAATAACGAGCCTGGGCTTCGGTGTGCTTTCAACAGCGCCCTCTGTTGCTGTTTTACCCGGGGCTCAGGAAGTGGCAGTTATCGCAGTCGTATCACATCAACCACTCAGAGAATTGTTTGCTCTGGTCATGACAGATACACGCCATTAAGGTGACGGTACCCACACACACAGGTGACTGGTAAAATGGAATTTGGAATTTGGAAGTTTTTAAGTGGAATTCAGACTACTCCGGGGTTTTTAAAAGGTTTGCAGAATTGCTTTTGTGCTAGCATGGTAACTTTGTGCTTGATCCCTGGTTGCATGGCATATTTAGGGGTTAACCCTAAATTCCCTGGACCTTTTTGTTAGGATGTAGCCTCAATCCTGCAAAATCCTCCAATTGGCCTCATGGAAAAATAGCATATAGCCTCAATCCTGCAAATTCCTCCAGTATTTCTTGAATATGGTCCATGGAGGGGTGACCACCGCCTGAATCCTGCAAAATCCTGCGGCAGTGACTGTCAATATGTTGAGGCTCGGCCAGTGACATCCTGGAAAGGCAGTTTGAGGATTTTGCAGGATTGAGGTTACATCCTAGCTAGCAAAAAAGCCTAGGGAGTTAGAGTTAATTAAATAATAATTCAGGAAGTCAATTTTAAACCAATAAACCACGTTAATTATACTTAATACCATCACAGGTACTGTAAAGTAAAGAAAGTAAGTATGAAAGACCGAGAGTCAAAAATAAAAAAGATAAAAAAAAAAAATTATTTTCCTACCTTACATTGTACACGTACCTGCATAATTTTTAGAGTGTTATTGTAACCACACAATTTTTTTTCAGCCTAATTGTTGCCAGATGCTTTGGACTTTGATGTTGTGAATATAAAACTCCTTGAAGTGTGACACCATAAAGCTAAAAATATCAATGTGCTTTGCACTTTTCTATTCAATGTGATGATCCAGTAAACATATTTGTTGCAATTTCCGTGAAATTCTGGAAAAAGATTCTTTGTGTTATAAAATACAACACCTGAATAAATCCTCGTTATTTGAAATATGGTAATACTAGTGCGACCATTCAATGGAACATCTATTTAGTTTGCAATAGAACTTCTCTTTACCGTTGAATGGAACTTCAATTTTTGTTGAGCCGCAGGGCTGTGGGTTCGGGCAAATAATTCGATGATCAATGACCCACCAATCAAATGACGGGGATTGACGGGTATTGTAACAGATAATGTTTACTTGTTTTGATATATTTCTAAAATACAAAGAAGTTTCAAATTATATTTCTGCAGAAATAAAATGCATTATACAACGCCTGAATAAATACCCGTCATCTGATTGGTGGGTCTTTGATCACGTGTCATTGAATTATTCGTCCCAATGCACGGCCAAAAATAGAAGTTCCATTCTCCGGTGAAAATGGACGTTCCATTGCATGGTCACACTTTTGGTGGCTCTGACCAATCAGATGACGAGGATTTATCCAGGAGTACCGTTTTGAATAATTTCATTCGGTGATGGATGGAATGTTCCATTGCACGAGGTGAACATTCAATCTGTCACCTCATGAAATTATTCTTACCATTGCACTCACAAACATTCATTATTTGAAAAATATTGGGTATGCAGCACTAAGCCTTTATAGGTACTTGTCAGCAAAATGCAAACTTTGTAGTTAAAGGGAAGATACAACATTTGCAAACATCAAAAAACAAAATCATGAAATTATCACAAAATTCTTTACTGGACTGTAAGGGGACGACAGTCTAAAGCATCCCGTACAATTGTGGCTCCTGGTGTGCTGACATTTTTTAGTAAAGTGGTATTTTGTATCAATTTCCAACACTGGTCAGCCGACCAAAAACTGGCTTTTTTTTCTCAAAAACTGCTCCTTATTTTTCATATTTTGTTATTCCGCATTTTCTTTGTAATTGATTACACACCTGTGAAGGGTACAAGCCAGCTACATGTAGACTGATTCTCTGACCTTATAATTCCCCAACGTCTATAAATTGCTCTGTTTCATCTTAAGTGGGGTCAGGGAACCAGACTACAAGAACACGATTGGTTGTCTTGTTTTTTTTCCAGCATCTACAAGCCCAAAACGTGAAACAAGTCAGTGTAACAGTATTTGCTATAACATACTGTTCCTCCAAATCCATTTATTTCTGAAAATTACAGCAAAAGCAAGGTACATTCCCTTTAATCTATGATGAATTTCAGGCACATCAGCATACAACAGGACTCTTTGTGACCAAATAAGATTCCATTTATTGGATGGTAATCTCAGAAACTAAATTCCCACACCCCATGCATACTCACTACGTATCATCTGCTGTAGCATTGTACGACAATAATTCTGATGATCACCTTATGAAATCCGGAAGCTCAGCAATTGAGGTAAACATGGCCGGTTTATTGCATGACCAGATGGACAACAAGCCCCCTTTTTTTGCTCTCCTTCACAACTGTCCATTCTTTTCCAGAAATGCTGACCGATTGTAACAGAGTGTACTCCCGAAAAAAACACCAACAAAATTGCACAAGCAGCTGTGTGGGTTTGCGTACGGTTTTGTTCAATACCATCTGCCATATATGTTTCCGTGTACACAACCAGAAAACTGTTTTGCACTTGCAGTGTGCAGGAAACCAGTTAATAATTTGTCACTGTTTCATTATGGTAGTAGGGCGTGTGGTGGTATAATTTAGCAGAATGTACTGAATCAAGTAAACCAGCACGCAAACACTTTTTTTGAATTGTCAACCACAGAGGGGGGTGTGGCAAAGGGAAAAGTTGGACTGGAATGAAGTGGGTGGGATTGAAGGGGTGAGGTGGGATAAGGGGTGGGATAGGGTAAGGTGGGGTGAGGGGTATAAGTGGGGTGAGGGGTATAGGTGCATGGGGTGGGATGGAGAAGAGTTTGAGTAAGGTGAAGTGCAATGGGGTTGGGTGGGGTTGGGTGGAGTGGAGTGGGGTGGGGTGGAGTGGAGTGGGGTGGGGTGGAGTGGAGTGGGGTGGGGTGGAGTGGAGTGGGGTGGGGTGGAGTGGGGTGGAATGGGTGGGTGTGATAGAATGGAG